TGAGTGCTGGGATTACAGGCGTGCGCCACCACTCCCGGCATGTGGCTCTTATTTCTAACCACCATAGTCTTGAAATAGGTGCAGGCCCGTTCTCTGACACCTCTAGCTCCCTCACTCGGGTGTGTCTGTTGCTTGCCTACCCTACCTTTTCTCCCCAGGCCCGGCTCTACACCCAGCTGCTCAGAAAAGCCACCTCCTTAGCTTTACGTCAGCAGGCGGCTGCCTTTTGGCTGTGATTTGGGCCTGTTTTACTTCCTGTGTTTTCAAAGGCAGGAGGATCACCTGCTCCCTGTCAATTCCACTTGAGCGAGGAGGAAGATATGGGCCTCATTCTGGAAACAGATGACTGGGCAGCCAGATAGACCTAGGAATGTGCACGGTGCCTGCCCTTAAAGTGTCGCTGTGCTCTGTTGAACTGCTTTAGTCTGAGACCTAACCAAGTATTACAAATGGATTATATATTGAAGTCGCTGTTTCTTTGTAACTGTAACTAGCAAAGCATGCTATTCTGGACACCCCCATCCCCTCGCTTTTGAGTTTTCTTATGCCCGCCCCACCTCGCCCATCCTCAGAGAAGTTGGTTTGTGATCTCCCCACTCCACCCGCAGTGGGGATTGAACCCACAGCCTACGCATGCTAAGCAAGCACTCTACCACTGAGCTCCATCACCACCCCTTTACATCACCACCCCCTCGTATTTTAGTTTGCAGTAGGGACTAGCTACGTTTCACAGGCTGGCCTCAAACGTGTCATCTTCTGACTCCCTTTCCTTAGCAGGTGGGATCACGGGTGAGAACCACCAACCACGGCTGGCTTGCTACTGTTCTTGGCCAGAAGTAAAAGTTTCCTACAATGTTCATTTGGGACTTGGCCTTGTTATTGGTTTCACTTTTTGGAAAGGGAAAAAGGAGATATTTTGGGGTAAAAAATGTGTAACCCAGTGCCAGGCATCTTGGGTACACAATCCTAGTTACTGCGGAGACTGGGACAGAAGGGTCTGGAGTTCATGGCCAGCCTGGGCTACTCAGTGCAAACTTGTTTTATTTATTTTTTT